TATATATATATATATATATATATAATACTCTTGTTATGGGAAATATGAGCTTTCTATGGTAGAAGTACTCACTGGTAGTGCATGTTTCTTAACGTTAGATTTGATCAAAATCATATCAACTAAATAGTATATCAAACTAACAAGTTCTAAATAGCTATGACGATTCAAAGCAAAACCCTACCGGTAGCTTATTTTTTCAGTATTTGTCCTAAAATTTTTCATGGGATATTATATTTTATAACATAATATATTTGTATGGTAGAAGTACTCACTGGTAGTGCATGTTTCTTAACGTTAGATTTGATCAAAATCATATCAACTAAATAGTATATCAAACTAACAAGTTCTAAATAGCTATGACGATTCAAAGCAAAACCCTACCGGTAGCTTATTTTTTCAGTATTTGTCCTAAAATTTTTCATGGGATATTATATTTTATAACATAATATATTTGGTTATGCAGGGATCGGCCAATTGAGAATAAGGACATAGTGCTTTGGTACACTTTGGGATTTCATCACGTGCCATGTCAAGAGGACTTCCCTATAATGCCCACAGTGTCATCGAGCTTTGATCTAAAGCCCGTTAACTTCTTTGAGAGCAATCCAATTCTTAGAATCCCTCCCAATGTTGAGAAGGACTTGCCTGTTTGCAAATCCTCTTCTTCAGCTTAATTAGAGCTTATAATTTAATCTTGGTCTGTCTTCAATCTTCATGATATCAAGTAGTATTTAATTATAAGACAAGACTTTGTTGTATCTGCTAATTTGTACAAGTATATCTTCAAGAAACTTAATTAATTCCAAGCATCCTATGGAATCTTCACCCTATCTGTGCAGGAAAATTGATGTACGTAATTACCACACTTGTAATGTTTGCTGACGTAACAAGAGATTTGATCTGATATGATATATATATATATATATATACAAATGATAAGTGGAATCCGACTTGTTATCCAAATGTTTTTTTTTTCCCCCACTAAGACCGAATATCAATTGGAAATTTGGATTCATAAGTTTAAATTACTTTAACTTTTTTTTTTTTGTTATAGTGTATTATTTCATAAAAATTTTAATTTCTATTCAAATGAGCATACGGCACCTAAACTTTTTAAATAATTGATGCTTTTTAAATCCAGTCAATTATTGTTGATTTTTTTATCCTAGTACGCTACGCATGCATGATACTTAGCTACTTATTATCGGATAAAATAAATAGAAATAGTAGAAAATATGTCAATTTTGGATCAATCATGTAGGCGATTTTAAGCACGGTGAGTAGGAAGAATAATTTTCCTTTTTAGCAGGTGAAGTTGGTACCATCATAGCGATCGAGTTGGACATTAGGATTGAGGAAAGACGCCATGTTCTTTTCAACCTCCATTGCAGCAACTTAAAACCTTAAAGATTGTTAGAGAATTTGAGTGTAGAGGATGAAAAGAAAGCAAACAATTTATGGGTTCATGACGTATAGGAATACTTTCTTTTAAAGTTTTATTTGCACTCACTTTTGAAAGTGTGCTCATGAGTTTCTAATGCAAATTACCCCTAAGATATAACAAATCATTGAACACAATATCTAGCAATAATATTATATTCCAGAACATCAATTAAGTCTGTAAATTTTCTAGAGAGTTAATAAAGACAGAGGTGTCATTTCATGAATGAACACATCCTCTTTAAATATCACAACCATTCACATAGGTACCTTTTTAATGTAAAGGTATCTCTTCATGGATTAATGCATCTTATTACAATAGTTATATCTATTGCTAATAGATGTTCATATATGTGTGAAAATATATCACCAATGAATATAATAGTTCGAAAAGTTTGAGATCACAAAATAAAAAAACAAACACGTTGTCTGCAGTAATAGGCGCTGCAACAGATTTGTTTTATCCGCTGCAGTGGATTTGGCAGCAACCTCCGAACATGTGGGGCTGTAACAGACCCGTTGTAGGATGCAGTGCGCGGGCAAGCGCTGCAACGTGTATTACTGCTTAGACAACATCTGTTTGGTGCTATCTAACCCGTTGCAACGCATTCCATACGCGTTGCAACGGTTTTACTGCCCAAAAATGTTTTTCAAATGTATTATAAATAGTTTAAAAAATGTGTGATTTAAATTGAAAGGCATATTATAATTTCTCTAACAACCACCGGTTATAATTTTTTTAATGGTTGAAAACTTACTATTTTTATGCTTTATCAAAATTGAAAAACCAAGATGTCACAATTGACTTGTTATGGGTAGAAGAACAAAAATATGTTATAGCGTTGGAAAATTATATTAATAGGATCATCACTAGTGAAATTTTGCGATGTTTGGTTGAAAACTATAATCTACGGTGGCTTGAAAATCAATACTGATGTCACCAACTAGTGAAAATTTTGTTGTTGCTTGAAAAACTAAAATTGCGATGAATATATATAATCAATATACTGACATCACGGCTAATATTCTTTTAATTTTTATGAGGTAATTTTTTTTATTTCTAGAAATAATTCCAAATTGTAAGGAAGAAAAGTAAACCAAATAGTTCTTTTTGATTTTTAAACACAAATCTTATAATATTACTAAACATTTGACTATATTATTTGTTGATAAATTAATGGGTTTGTTTTCCCAAAAGAAAGAAAATGGCTCGTGACTGTTTCTTATGCACATGTAGTCTGACACTTTCTTGAGCTCATTTCTTCTAAGCTTGTAAAAGGCATTGAGATTCGTGGTTCGTTTCACAATTCGAATCACAATTCAAACTTTTTATTAAAGTATTTTTTTTTACGAAAAATTTAAATTTAAATTTTTTTATTATAATATTTTCTCTCACATAAATTTACTTTTTAACTTAAGTTTTCAAACTCGAACGAGTGAAACGAATGGCCTAAGCATCTCTCCCTCAAATATTTTTCGAAATAGGCAGAGAATTGGGACTATATAAATCCGAATCCTTGAAGGCCTTTCCAAAAGAAGAAAAGAGACATCTTAATAGCTGCATCATCCATTAATGGCTGACCTGTTTACACCTTACAATTGAAATAATGTCATTCCTGGGCAAGTTGGCTATAAATGTCTTATCTTCAACCAAAAAGATAATGATTTCGTTCAAAAATCAAAATGGTTACTTTTTTTGTTTTTTTTGCTAGAAAAATCAAAATGGTTACTTGGCTCCATGGGTTTGCCCAGCCCTACACATATTATTTAAGTCACCTTGACAAAACATATTAAAATTTTAGCTAAAGGCAACTCTCTATAAATCACTCAGCTTTCATTTTTTGATCTATCTATTCTATACATAATAGAATATATAATAGAAACATCAGCGAGATTCTCTACGTGGGTTTGCATCATTCTGCTATCTTTTTAACTTTTCTAATTTTGTTTCGTCAGAAAAAAAAGGCCTTTAATCAAGTCCATCAGCCATAGAGATGGAACAAAACGAACTGTTAACGTTTTGATCATGAACAGAACGTTGATCTAATTTATAAGCTCGGTAATAATATTGATTAGCTAGTTATAATTAACAGATAATTGAAAAGCCAATATAACGTATATGAATATAATGCATATATGATTCCTCATGGAAACCAAGAGTTCAAAATATACATGTGACATAAAAATAATATAAAAGTAGATAAATTACATTCCAACATTATTCATAAATCATAATTACATGCATGCTATACATACCAAATCATATATATAGCTCTAAATTTGATAATCTAGGCACAGGAACAGCAACAAGAGGATTCACCTTCTCCAACACAACCCCAAGTTTCTCAGCAGAATCCAACTTTGCCCCACGTGGCAATTCCCACTCAAACAAATGCAGCAACATTGCCAATACGTGCATTAACATCTTCTCACCCAAAGGAAGCCCTGCGCATATTCTCCTACCCGCCCCAAAAGGGATGTACTTCAAATTGTTGCCAAAATAGTCCAACATTTTAGACTGATCATCTTGATCATTATCTTCTTTCAAGAACCTTTTGGGATTAAACTCTGTGGGGTCCTCCCAAAACAGTGGGTCCCTATGCATGGCCCAAACGTTGAGAAAGACCTTGGTGCCCTTGGGAATGGCATATCCACCGACAATGCAAGGCTTTGATGGGGAACGAGGCAGTAGTAATGGCGCTGCCGGGTGTAATCTCAGTGTTTCTTTCACGACAGCGTGGAGATATGTGAGTTTGATTATGTGGGACTCTTCGACACCTTTGTCGTTTCCAACCACTTCTGATAACTCTGATTGGCATTTTCTCATAATGTCCGGATGAAGCATTAGTTCTGTCATGGCCCACTCTACCATTGTGGAGGTTGTGTCGGTCCCACCTATCACTATGTCCTGTAAATGCAAAGTAGATTTATAAATTATTGGATAAGAAGATGACTGCTCATGACCTATGCTCTTGTTAACATCAACTGATATCTGATTACTTTACGTGATAAATTTCAAGTACGACAAAGTAGCCTTAATTAATAGAAGAGACCTTATTCTGTGGACCGGCTTACCGGTAGAGTTAGAAGAATCAATTTATATCATCGTTAAATTTAGTTAAAATTATATTTTTAATATAAATTTAATGATTAAATAACACAAAATTATTGATAATTTATTTTTTTAATGTTACTCCAGAAACTCTCTTAAAAAAAATTCAATGGTAGCATTCATGCCACTTATAGTAATTTCAACCGTTTTTTTAAACGTGTTTATTAAAATACTCCATATTAAAATATGTTTTTCAAAACTATTACTGTTTGTATATTTTTCCTTAGCCTTCTAAATTATTTTCATTTCAAAAGAGTATAAGTTCATGAATATACTTTACATCTAATTATCCAGTACAAATTCTTTTTTAATTTGACCATAGTTAAATATTTTTCCCTACTGTCCTACCAACTATTATTTCTTATTTGTTTGATCTCCAATTTATTTTTCTTTTTCTCAGATGTGTCTTTACTCTTTACTTAAATATTTTTTTTTACTGTCTCTCTATATAATATTGTTATAGCAAAAGCAGTACTCATAAAGTTTTTTTTTTTACTATTTTCTTATATGTATCTGATAATTAATTTTCTTTATGATTTATCTACTAAAATATTTTTTCCTAGAATATGATGTACTTGTCTATACCTATATAATATTTAACTAAAATGTACATTTTGAGTAAAACTTATATTTTAGTCCCTTTATTTTTACCATAAGTCTATAAAACATCTATGTCATTATTACCATAAGCATTGCCTTGATTTCCGGAGGAGAGATCGATCTTCCAGTGTCTTGTTCCTTGTAGTCCAATAGAACCTCCAGAAAATCCTTTGCTCCAGCCTTTTCCTTTGCGTCTAATACTTGGCGTGCTTTCCTTTTCTGATCTATGACAAAGTCGAAAATCCTCTCTAGCCACTTTGACACCTTCTTCATATTCCTCTCCACTCCTTGTATGTCCAACCCAGCTAGAACGGGAAAGAAATCAGAAACATTAGGTTTTCCGAGTAGCGAAACGAGCTGCGATACCGCGGCTCGAAACTCCGCCCCGAGACGCTTTTCCTCCTCGCCGTCGAGCGTGCCACCCCAAAACATTCTCGTTATCATGTTGATCACGGTAAGAAAAGCCAGTTCACCTAAGTTAATTGGTTTGCCAGCGTTCCCATACACATGTCTAACACTCTTCTTGAGCTCATTTCTTCTAAGCTCGTAAAAGGCATTGAGATTCTCATTACTAAGCATCTCTCGCACAAATATTTTGCGCAACAAACGCCATTGAGGACCGTAAGGAGCGAACGCAATGTCGTTTCCACCGAAAGAGAAGGCCAAAGAAGCAATACTAGGGTTGCGGTTGGCAAAAACAATGTCTTGGTGACGCACCACTTGTTCTACTAAAGATGGAGAGCTTATAATGACGCAGAGTCTGCGGCCAATGGAGAGCTTGTAGATTGGGCCGTAAACTTGGGCCAGCTCCATGAACATCCGGTGGAGGTCCGGCCCAAGGTAAGGGAGGTAACCCAGCAGTGGAAAGCCTTTAGGCCCGGGAGGCAACTCCAACATTCTGTGTGTCTGATCATGTCGTCTCAGCCTAATTTTGAGCAGCCAAAGCAATGCCAAAAAGGCGCTACAGGAAAGTGCAATGGCGGCGAGCCAAGAAAAATTGTGTTCGCCCGCCAAGTCCCTAACATCAAAAAAAGACATGATGTTTTATGATTGACGTACAAATACTCTTTTTGCCGTATACAGAAAGAAAATAGTACTACTCCTATTTAGGACCGGAATAATGCTTAAGAACTTGTTATAGCATAAGAAGAGATAGCTCAGCCATTTACTCTGGGGAATTATGTTCGTGTGTGTGTACATGTGTGTGTCACACTCACATATATATATATATATATATATATATTTATGATCTAATATAAAGGAAAAATTCCAGCTGTCTCCGAGGGACAGATGAATCAGTTTTATTTATTTATTTATTTTTTCGGCTGAATAAATGGTGATGCTTTAAAGCATATGAAGACAAGCTAATATCCACAGAGTTTTGGCCGCAAGGTTAGATTTCAAATTGATATAGTGACTCGGCACGTTTTTAATAGATCGGGCAAAAATCTAAATTACACGTTCATTGTATCTGCTCTACATGTGAATCATGCCTCCTTTTGTCAGTGTTTAATAATGGATCGAGATCGAATCACTATTAATCATTGTTATTTATCGATTATAAGATAAGATTTGTTATAAAGATGAATCAATGTAATCATAATAATAGCAAAAGTAAATAAAGTGATGCATCTAACTGGAGGGGGAAACAAAATTATAAATCAAGGACAAAACACACGCACAAACACACATATATACATATATTATATATACATATATAATGAGGTGATCACATTGATAACGGGATCAAATGCTACTCATAAAGCTCTAGATTACATAATCTGGGTGTTGGAATGGCAATTAAAGGATCCAGTTTCTTCAATACAATCCCAAATTTTTCCGACAACTCGAGCTTTGTCCCTGGCGGCAATTTCCACTCAAATGAATGCAAGAAAGAAGCTATCACATAAATTAGCATCCTCTCCACTATGGGAAGCCCTGCACAAACTCTTCTTCCGGATCCAAACGGTAGAAAATGGAAATTATTTCCTGAATAATCAAATTTGCTAGCCTCATCCCGACTTATGAATCTTTCCGGTCTAAATTCCAAAGGATTTTCCCAATAACTAGGGTCTCTTTGTATGGCACCAATGTTTAGAAGAACCCTAGCATTTTTGGGCACATTTTACCCGCCAATAGTGGTGGTTAGGCTGGGAAGACGTGGCAGAAGAAACGGCAATGGTGGATGCAAACGAAGCGTTTCTTTTATAACTGCGTTTAGATAGATCAATTGGGACAAATGAGACTCTTCTACAATGTTGTTTAACCCCACAACTTGTGTTAATTCCTCTTTTACTTTATTCATTATTTCTGGATGCTGCCATTGTCCATTCCACAGTTGTTGTGGTCGTGTCAGTTCCACCTATCACAATGTCCTAGTGAGCAAGAGAACAATATTAAGTTATTACAATAAGGAAATAATAATGAGTATTAAGTATAATTTCTTTTAGTATGTTTCTAGGAACCTATCTGTCAATTGATTTAGTTGTGAGTTTTTTGACACATCACCACATGAATTAGACGGAGCTGTTAAGTGCGATACGTTATAAATAAGTATACACATTATCATTTGAGTAATGTATGTATATGACACATCACCATTTAAAGTAAACACCTTTTTATCAGATTATTTATTTATTACATTTTTCCTTAATTATAATAAGTACCCAATGTTCTTATCGTTTTTAAATTTCACTCCATAATGCTGTGAAAGGCATAAACGACATGTTATTTGAAGAATGAAAACAATTTGTCGTCTCTTAATTTTCTAAACGACATGTCGTTTTATTTTAATGTTGTTTATCCTCAAAATAAAACAACATTCTGTTCAGAACTTCTCTTGAGAAAAAAAAGTGTCATTTTTATTACGATGTCGTTTATTAATGGGTATTCAACTGATGACATGTCGTTATTTACACTGTCGTTTCTTTAAAGGATTGAAAAAAAAAAAAAATTGTAAAAGATAGAATACATGAATATTATGTTAGTTTACCAATTATACGTCTTCCATAAAAAAAAAAAAAAAAAAAAAAAAAAAAATAAATATCACTGAGAGAGGGCTCTAAAAATCATACGTACCGTGAGCAAGGCCTTAAGTTGGTCCATGCTAATTGACGTCGATTCATCTCCATTCTCATGAAGCTCCAACAAGAACTGCAAAAAGCCCCTTTCTTCATCACCATTAATATTATCCTTATTAGATTCAGCCTTTGCATTCCTAGCGGCCTGTTGAATGGCAGAGTCAAGAAGCTTTTCAAACACACGAACAATCTTCTTTGTTTCCCTCTCTACCCCTCGTAAATCCAACCATGCCAGGGAAGGGAACAAGTCCGAAATGTTCGACTTCCCGATCAGCTCCATAAGCTGCGTCGCCGCTTTCCGGATTTCCGCTATGTCGATGGCTCCGCCGGCCTCCTGATAACCTCCCGGCCGCCTCGAGGCGCCGCACAACATGCTCGTGGAGGCGTTGATGACCGTCAGAAAAGCCAAACTCCCGATGTCAATTGGGGTGTTGGCTTTTTCATAGATTTGCATTATAGACTTGTGAACCTCTTCTCTTCTCAGGCCGTACAAGTTGTCCAGGATGGTGTTGCTTATCATCTCCCGCACGAAGATCTAGCAATCAATTATGTGATATTCTTAAGTGGAGTATATATCGTATAGAACAAATATAAAAGAAATCATATTTGCGACAACTTAACTAAGTTTCCGGGGAATTATGAATGAATAAATGAATGAGTAAATTAGTCTTCTCTTCGTAATTATATATCATACATTTCAATGTAAAGACTAGTGATCAAGATACAAAAATAAATCACTATTTGCAGCCTATCAAAATAATAAAAGTAAAATTCACCATTACTATGAAAGTGAATGAAAGAAGGAATGAGATGAGCAATTGAGGAAACTGATAGTCAGATCTTATGTCCCTATTTCCTTGTTCTTCCACCATTATTTTTTATGTTTTCTAAATTTATCGACTTGGCTACGTAAATAAGAACTAAATATTACAACTATTTAGAAACTAAATGAACTATCAAAATTTAATAATTGATGAGAAAAAGGCTGTAGATATTACTAAAAGAGGATGAAAAAGAAACAGATTACGCAGTAAATTAATGATAAATACGATTAATTTAATTTAAACAACCTTTCCCCTAAAAAAAAAATATGAAATCTGCTTGAAAGTCGTGGATATTATTACTTTGACTAAGAATTTATATTATTAGTCATAAAATTTAAGGTATTTCATCTTTTTTTTTTGCATGTTATCGGAAAAATCATGAGGTATACCTTTTTTTTTAAAATATTTGTTTATAGAAAAATTATGGGGTTTACTTGAGCCATATGGTTTTGAGTTGTAACATGTAATTTACCTTGCGCAACTTTTTCCATTGTGGACCGTAGGGTGAAAAGACTATGTCGTTTCCTCCGTACGTGCAGACGAGGGTGGAGACGACAGGATCTCGGTTCGCAAACACGGTGTCATGGTCACGAACCACTTCTTTCACCATCGACGGCGAACTGATTACTATGCACAGCTTGCTTCCGAGCCACATCTTGTATATTGGACCGTAGACACTAGCCAGTTTCGAAAATTCATGGTTAAGATCGGCCCCTAGGAAGGGAAGGTATCCGACGAGAGGCAAGCCGCGGGGCCCCGGCGGCAGCGGCGGGGGTGGCGGCGGCTTAGCAACGCCTGAGTTCTTGGCGGTCCACAGCCGCCGGAGCAACATTGCTGCGAAAGCCGAAATGAGAAGGGTGAGAATTGCCCCGGTGATTCCATGTTCGAAATGATATTTTCTAGTACTGTCCAACCCATTACCAGACCACATTGCAAAAGAGACTATAGAACTTGTCATGTTATAGCCTTCTAAAATTTGCTTTAATTTAAGGAGATGAGCTTGTGAAGACTGTTACTCAGCTAATTATAGAATTCTGAGTGTACTACTTTCGGTTGTTCAATAACTGTGGTAGGTAATTTTCAGTAAAAAAAAAGGCAAGTAATGTAAAGTATAAATTACGAAAAAAAAAAAAAAAACGATTTCGTGACATTACATAGTTTGTTTTAGGGGAAGTATATACTTTTGGATATTCGATGGGGTGTCGTTTACAAATAACCCTCTTTCTATCCTGTCTTATCTAGAGCTGAAAATTTGTGTTACCGTGTCGTGTTAATCTTCTCAGTTGACATGATAAGACCTGATATTTATTATTTGTATCGAAATACAAAATTCAAACACGACCTGTATATTAGCGAGTTGACACGACACGATACGACATGACTAACCCGTTTATTAAACAAGTCATAATAGTGTCGTGTCAACCTGTTTCTAATAACTCATTTATTAACCGGTTTATAAAATGAGTGATAATAAGGTCGTGTCAACCTATTTCTCAACCTGTTTTTCTTTTTAAAAAAATATAGATAACAAACAGGTTGTAATTGTGTTGTGTATTCGTGTTGCCTCAATATGACACGTTTAATAAACGGGTTACGGCGGGTCAATTACAAGTTGATGGGTCAACTTGAAAATGACACGCTATTTAATCATGTTTCACGGGTTCGACTTAATTTTGATCCAAACTTATTTATAATAAACACAAATCCACTAACTTCGTGCGAGTTTCAAATTATATCTTCGTGTTGCTACTCATATTATCAGCCCTAATCTTATCTATAATTTTCTTCACGGTTTAGAAATGATTAATTGAAGATTTTTGTAGAAAATTAGGGGTGGAAAATGGTTGAGTACTGGACTTTGGAATCAATGTAAGTCTGCAAGACGAAGCATTCAAAAAAGGAAAAGGAAATGAATTTCTTTCGTCCCTTTCATGTCAGAAAATATCTAGCTCTTTTTTCTTCTGTCTTCTACCTTTTTTTTTTTTTCTAAATGAGCAATTAATTAAACTTTAGACCGCAATATTTTATAAATTTACCATATTAGATTAAACCTTCAATTAATGATCTAACAAATCTCCCATAATTTATACTTCTAGTTAATCCTATATTTATCTTAAAAAATTCTACAATTATTGTATAGTACTTGTGAAATCAACTCACGATGACTTTTTATATTTGGATGCTTTATCTATTTGATTTGTAAACACATCTACCAAAAAAAAAAAAATTGATTTAAGGACACTTTCTTTTCTTCTTTTTTTAACAACTTTTTTATTTATTAAAAAATCAATTCATGTTTTGGTTTCTAATTTTTCAATACATTTTTTGGTTATTTATATGGATAATACTTTAATAAGCTATGAAAAATGCCATTAGTAAAATATAACTTTTGATAATCACATTTTTATTTCGTTCAATTATTGTACTCTTTTATTCTTTTTCTTAGAATTCTTCTAATTATATATTTGTCTTTCTAAATAAATATTGTGTTGAATTTGGAGGGGCATTTTCTCGTCGGGGAGATTAAAAAAAAAAAAGTAAATTTAATCTAAAATTTTTAGTTAAAATCATACATGATTTGTCTTTTCCATAGTGCCCCAGTGCAAATTGCAGAGACTTTTTTATTTTTTATTTTTTATTTTTCCAAAAACATGGCTGAGATAATTTCAACACTGTGGGCAACTATTTGTGAATGTTACTCCGCAGATTGGACGAAATTAACCTGAGTGGTTCGCAACGATATATGTAGGTTAATTTCCTCTACAAATGACAACTGTTGTAATATCTCTCACAAAGAATAATAATAATAATAAATAAAAAATAAAGAAAACTAGAAGCTCCTTTTGTTGCTGAAAATATGTAGTCGATCGGTTTTAGATGTTTAGTTCTTTAAAAAAAAATCTGACAAATTTATACGTTCATATATATATATATATAATGTTTGTACATATATCGGTTCATTAATTTATTTAAAATGTGTTTTATTTCGAGATCATATGGTCCCCTTTTTTTAACACTCTTCTTGATGGCGTTGGATCCAGATCTTTGGCTGGTATCTGTGATATTATAATTCTAGATTTATTAAACATAGAAGATAAAACTTAAAAGAACATTTGAGAACTTGAAAAAAAAAAAAAAAAAAAAGACTGATCTGAATAAGGAAAAGAACAAATTTCCGGATGTGTGGTATATATTGGCCTGTCGGCCGGAACTCTTGAAGAAAATTAAAATAAAAATTCTGAAGCTCATAAAGGGTTTTCTTTTGCCATATTTTGTTAATCTTCAACTGAAAAAAAAAAGATAGTCAATAAATTATACCTACGGAGTACGTATGCTTTGAAATACTAATACTGAAAAACATGTGATATCTTATTGAGAATATATACAAATATAGATATTAATATACACATTATATATATATGTGTGTGTGTGTGTGTGTGTGTGTGTCTGTGTGTGTGTGTGTCTCTGAGTGTGTTTCAAGCATGAAGTGGATCCAAATCAGCTAGTAACCTAATGTCCAAAACAGAAGTAAAAGCTGATTCCCCTTATATATATATATATATATATAAATATATCGAGACTGATGAAATAAACTGCATGGTCGCAATATAAATAGATATGGTAAGAAGAAGAAGATATATGAAATGAAAAGGATATGAAGGGAGAGTGCACAGTAATGTACAATAATTGTTAGTTGCTGAAGAGACATGCACATGTCTCCAGTCTCCGGCAAGACAAGGGAAATTATTACCTGTTATGAATTGAATAGTAATTGTCAACCTCAATTAAAGTTATTATGCAAGTCAGTCTAAGTTACTGTTCATGTCAAAATTTTACTGTAAAAATAGCAACCGTGAATAGTGCCATAAGTTTTGCTATAAATAGAGTCCTAGACTCTTCAATTTATATACCTTTACAAGATTAATGAATCTTTCTCATATTTCTCTCTCTAAAATTTTTCTTTTTAATTTTGCATTTTTTTAGTTTTCATAACATTACTTATAATATTATTGAGATATTGTTTGGGGTTCACGTGAGAAATTGTACGTAAGTAGTACAAGTTGATAATGCACCTTTCACTTTCACATACCTCTTCATTTTTCACGTGCTATTATCCAATATGAATTAGTCAATGAGAGAGTCAGAATTTATGGGTGGGGTCAAAATTTTTTTTTATTAAGATTATTTTTGTATATATATGTAACAATTTTTGTTTATATATGTAACACATGGTTGGCCTAATAAAATATAGAAAACTATTAATTTAAGGAGAGCCGAGTTTAATTTATGCACATACATATTATATTAAAATTAAAATCACTATATTAAAAAACAAATAATAAAAAGCTAGGGGGGCCATGGCCCCCCTGCCCCTGTCTCCATCAATGGATTTAGTAATGAGACTATCTCCATTGTAAATGTCAATGCTAATATTATATTTAACACTAAAAAAGTAAAAATAACATATTTGTTATTATGTTATTCTATTTTGTATTTCAATGCGTTTTAAATATCAAAATTTAGTATATGTCATACAACTGGTGCCAAATTAATACCAAATATAATATATGCGAATACCATATAAATAAATATTATTGGGAATGGTGTCATAGAAGTATGAGATGTAATAGATATTATTATTTATTTAATAAAAGAGTTTATTCATTATTTTATGTGCAAATATTATTGAATATTTTATGTATATCGCTGAAAATTCTATGATTATCTATGTGACCTTAAATATTGTATATAAATGTTATATGCGAGAGGATAATATTTAAGGATAATAATCAAAACGATGTTCGTAATGAATTTAATTAAAGTTCAGAATCTTTAATTCAAACATTACTAATACATGTCATTCCCATTTAGAATGGAATGGTGTTGTCCACATTGTTAATATGGTGACATATTGAATGAGTGTATTATGCATAATGAGATTGTATGGAACCGGGACACAGTCAGACACATATTACTTAATCCTGAGTTAAGTATAGAAATTCTAATTAAGACTATTGATGGTCATATATAAAATAATCTTAATCCTGAGTTATTAACATACTACTATTTATGGATTTGTGTTTTGATTTACTCGGTATAAATTCTGAGATGTTGAATCATATTACTTGTATTTTGGAGACATGATGAAGTGAGTAGCCGGGAATGTTAAGACACGAGAAGGAATCCATTCCTTCTTGAGAAAGAAGCAAATAAATAATTCTCTTAAGAATTGATTCGGTACTTGGACTACTAGGAGCTCCGATTCATGAACTTGTTTAATAATCATTGTCCTTTAGAGAATCAATGGTACTCAAGGAAAAACATGTAATTAGAGAGGTTAATAGATTTCACTAGCTCTAATTATGAATTATTTATGGAGGATTGATTTATATGTAATGACTATATCAAATGGATACTTCACAGTTTAGAAGTAAATTATATATATAATTGCGAGAGTGCAATTCTAAGTTTATAGTGGAGTAAATTTTAGAATTAGTATAATTAATTAATTAGTTAAAGATTTTTAATTGATTATTAATTTTATTAGAGCTCAGAATTATTAGGTCCATGAGTCCCGCGTCATCTTTGTAATCCTACAAGATACTAAGGGTAAAATGAGAATTTTAGAATTATGGAGTTCTAAATAGAACACTCAAGAATAATTAAGCAAGAATTAATCATAAATTAAATAATGTGATTATTTAAATTTGAATTTTGGAACACACATGTGGAGGAGTTCACATGGTGTACACGCCCAACAAAGTGGGAATCTCTATGGGATTTAATTACTTGCTCTCTAAGTTATCCAATTGACTTATTTGATAAGTTGTCCAATTAGAATTCAAATTAAAATAAGTTTAACTTAAATTAGAATTTGAATTTGTGTCTAAATTAGACTACAAGATAAAGGAGAATTTTTTCTCCCCTATCTGTAATTTGCGCCAACCACAGGGGGAATATCCCTGAGGTGGCCGGCCCCTGTGGATAAGAGAGTGAGGAGATTTTGTTTGAAAATCAATTATAAGTGGGAGATAATTATCAAGTTTTATCTTTGAGATATATAATGATAAGACTTCTTCTGTGAGTTTGAGTACTACTCTATATATAGGATATTGCAGAAAATTAGATAACACAATTTTTGCTCTCTTTAGCATAGTGTGGCCGAAACCAACAAATATAATATATGCAAAAAACATATACTTACATTACAGAACCTATATATCCTTTGAATTTGCATATTAGTTACATATTTTGGTATAAGAGTGAATCTTTTATTTGATAATTAGTAAAGAGCTAGCTAGAACAAATTCTAGTCTACTCATAAAGTGTTGGATCAGATAACCTTGGAGTAGGGATAGCAACAAGCGGTGTCTTCATTTTCAAAACAATTCCAAATTTCTCAGAAAGATCCAACTTCTCCCCATAAGGCAACTCCCAATTAAAAGAGTGCAAAAGCGTAGCAAGAGAATACACGACCATTCTCTCTGCCATTGCAACTCCGGCACACATTCTTCTGCCGGATCCAAATGGAAAATAGGTGAAGTCGTTTCCACTAAAGTCCCGATATTTATTGTCGTTTAAGAATCTCCCTGGATCAAACGTCAAAGGGTTTTCCCATACAGAAGGGTCTCTATGAATAGCCCAAACGTTGATAAAAACTTGAGAGCCTTTTGGGATTGTATAGCCTCCGATAACACAAGTCTCACTTGGGCAATGAGGGACTAACAATGGTAGAGTTGGGTGCAGCCTTAGAGTTTCCTTCATCACGGCTTGTAAATATGGGAGTTTGTGAATGTGAGACTCTTCTACTATGTTGTCTTTGCCAACTGTGGAATCTAACTCCTGTTGGGCTTTATTCATGATTTCTGGTTGGTTTATGATTTCAGCCATGGCAAATTCAATTGCATTAGAGGATGTATCACTCCCACCCACTACCATATCCTGTTCATAAATTGATTTTAAGTGAAATAAATTCAGGGAAAATTTTAGGGTCTATGAAGTTAAATAAAAATAAATTCAAGGACTAAGTCACTAAAAAAAAAATGAGAGAGATGGTTTAAGAACCATATCGTTACAATGTAATAGTTCAAGAATAATACAATCCATATCTCGTTTAACGAATTAAATACTAATAACTATATTGCTACATGAAATGATTTAGTAGATACTAAGGTACGATCGCAATATTATTACTCTTTTTTGAAACTAAACACAACGTAATTTAGTTGTCATATCCTAGTTACGATGTTCATGAGAATCTCCATATTATAAATATTCTTTGCCAAAATGAATTAGTAATAACCTAGCTAATCCTAACTTCACATTAAACAAAGTTAAGCAAAAGTAGACCATACTGGATGTACAATGATTATGGATTCAAGACCAAGGAACAATTAGTTTTAGTCTAACCGTGGACCATTATTAATTAATGAACAACATAAACCAAAGTAGTAAATATTCTTTTGCTAAAACAAACCAATACTATGAGTAAAACTATTGATCATCATTACTCCCTAAGTGATGTTGATGCATTATTGTTCGTGCAATTTAAAACAGTGAAATAGTATTAAAAAAAAATAGGTCTTACCCAATTATGTAGTATTTTTAATGTTGTAGTGATTATAAATTAATTAGCATTCTTTTAATGTTATAATGTAACAAGCATAATATCTATTTTACCTGAAAGCAGGACGTGTTAATAGATAGTAAACAAATAAAGAAAGGGGCAACATACCGTTAGTATGCCTTTAACATGCCTCATGGTCAAAGGAGTCTGGGAATCTTCTTCATCTTTCAATCTTAACAAAAACTGCAAGAAGTCCTTATTGCTCTCATTCACACCCTCTCTCTCAATCTTCACCCGTTGACTAATCACCTTCTCAAATATATGATCTAACCTCCAGCCCAGCCCATCTATTTGCCTCTTTAACCCTTGCAAGTCAAACCGGGCTAGGCCCGGAAAAAAGTCCGAAATATTGGGCTTTCCTAGAAGCTCAGTTGTCCCGGTGACCACCTCTCTAAACTCTACACCCAAATTAGCCCTCTCTTCACCCTCCAACGTGCCACCCCACAACATATTGGTAATCACATTGAGTATTGTCAAAAATATTTGTTCACCCACCTCAACAGGGGACCCGACCCGGCCATATAATTCGCTGGCGGTTTTTCGTACCTCACGGCGGCGGAGGGAATAAAGGGAGTCTAACGTTGTATTGCTAAGCATCTTGAGCACGCATACTTTCCGCAACATGCGCCACTCCGGCCCGTACGGGCTCCAAACGATGTCCGGTCCACCATATTCGGTGTTTTGGACCAAGTCTGGCGGATTGCGGTTGGCAAAAGTGACGTCGTTTTCTTTGAGGACTTCGCGGGCCAAAGGCGGAGAGGTCACTACAATACCAAGCCTGTTTCCGAGTTTGAGCTTGAAAATTGGGCCGTAGGTTTGGGCCAGGCTTGCAAAGTAGGCTGGAACTTCTGGGTCGAGGGAGAGGAGGTTGCCCACCAAGGGGAGGCCCATTGGGCCTGGTGGTAATGCTGAGGTTTTGGGATTCTTGGGTTTGATCCATGCATACCAAATGAAGGCAAAGATGGCAGAGAGAGTGAGAAACAAGCTTGTAGAGTCATAGTTATCTTTCAAAGTGGTTATCATGGTACGTTTGGGTTTTGGGATGAGAAGTTTGTGGGTTACGCTTTTGAGGAAATAAGAAAATAGGTCTAAGGAGTTGGAAGAGTGTTGGTATGAAGTTGTTGGAAAATAGTAGATGGATTTTGAAGAAAGGTAAATTGAATCGTCATATAAACTTGTAGCTTACTATATAGACAACTCATCGTTACTCTTCGGCTAGAATTTCAATGTTGATTTGTTCGGCAACTTGTATCTAGTAGACTTCATTTTTAACGAGCACTCTCTCTTTAAATAGAGACTTTTCGTTGGTTATATGATTGGATTTTCTTTTTTTTTGGTATCAAGAATCCGACTACAAGTCTGCCGTAGGTAGGCCTTGAAACTATAAAGCCATTTTTTTAAAAGAGAAAAATTCTAAATATCTAAACTTCAGAAAAACTATTTGATTATGTTATTCTATTTCGCCTGCTTCTTACTTAAAAGCAAAAAAAAAAAAAAAAAAAAAAGAAGGACAAAAAATTATGTCTAAATAATTCACTTGGTTCATTACGTTGTCTATTCTACAAATAGATCTTATGCTAATTGTGACAACATCTCTAAATATAATCGGAAGAAATGTCCTACTAATTAGTATTTCTCTAAATTTACTTGTCCAATAAGACGGCTCAAATATATGTTAAAATTAAAACCCATAACATTAGATTGTTTTTTCCGAGATAAAACTAGGACTGAAAACAATTGGTTTTTATTCTTCTTAGCTAGCTACCTTTAATTTGTTTCTTTTCTGATGCTTGAAAACACAAGAAACGAAAATCAAAATTGAGAAGAATCATCCATAGAGACATTTCCTTGCTTATGGTACTTTGGTACTGCGCATTAATCATATCTTCAACATGCAAACTGTATCCAAGCATGCGCAATAGGAATTTCACAGACCACGAGTACTATGAAAACCAGAAGCTCAACACACAATATAAAATACATAGATACAACATGTATTGCAAGAAGAATTCTGATAGGATAAAAAATACCCAACCAAGATATTGTGCATTATTGAACTACCAAATGTTATTATTATTATTTTTTATATGATCATAATATGATTTAAGGGTATAAAACTGCAGAGTGGGCAGACTATAGTAACCATATGTTTTATCGTCAATCAATTTTTTTTCAATTCAATAGCCCCTTAAATTAAGGACAAACTAACGAAATACTAGGGTTTAATCGCAAAGTGAATAACAATGAGAGGAATCTTCTTTTTCAAAATAATTCCAAATTTCTCTGAAAGATCCAACTTCTCCCATGCAGCAATTCCCAGTTAAAGGAATGCTAAAGCGTAGCAAGAGAATACATGACCATCCTCTCAAATTCCGGCACATATTCTTCTGCCGGATCCAAATGGGAAATAGTTGAAATCACTCCCACTAAAGTCCGGATATTTATTGTCGATCAAGAATCTCTCTGGATCAAACTTTAAAGGGTTTTCCCATACAGAAGGGTCTCTATGAATAGCCCAAACGTTGATTAAAACTTGAGAGCCTTTTGGGATTGTATAGCCTTCGATAACACAAGTCTCACTTGGGCAATGAGGGACTAACAATGGTAGAGTTGGGTGAAATGAACGAGACCTAAGTCCACAATACCAAGTATGTTTCCGAGTCTGACCTTGAGAATTGGGCCGTAGGTTTGGGTAAGGCCTGCAAAGTAGGGAGGAAGTTCTGGGTCGAGGGAGAGGAGGTTGCCCACCAAGGGGAGGCCCATTGGGCCTGGTGGTAATGGTGAGGTCTTGGGATTCTTGGGTTTGATCCATGCGTAACAAATGAAGGCAAATATGACAGAGAGAGCGAGAAACAGGCTTGTAAAGTCATAGTTTTCTTTCAAAATGGTTATCATTGTTCGTTTAGGTTTGGGATGAGAAATTTGTGCGTTGACTTTTAATGAAATAAGAAATAGGGATAAGTGGTTGGGAGAGTGTTTGTATGAAGTCGTGGGAAAATACTTGATGGGAGATAGGTAAATTGGATCATCTTATAAAAGTTATATAGGTTAATATATAGACAACTCATCTCTTCGGCTATAATTGTTTTTAAAGGAATCTTTCAAATTTGATATTTCAATGTAAGTTTGTTCGGCAACTAGTATCCTTTAAAGATTAATTTTTAATGAGGATTCTTTATTTTATTAAAGACTTTTTGTTACTTATATGATTGGATTATCTTATTTGGTATCAAGAATCGGACTAGAAGTCTCCAGTAGGCATATAACCTTGTCACTAGAAAGCTTTTTTTTTTTTTTTTTTTTTTGAGGGACGAATTTAAAATATCCAAAACAAATGTTTATTTCAAAAACTAATAAAATATGTGACACGAGCAATATGCTTGTTTAGTTTTTCTCAAAGTTCCTATTGATATGGTCCATAGGGAAAAATGATAATATACGTTTGAAAATATCAATTCTCAACGGTAAATATTTACGGTCCTATTGAGTTTTTCCTTGATGATTTTGCTTCCTATTTCTAAACTGACAGACTATTTTTCTATTATCTTGGTCTTACATGAGCTATACGAGACCTCTACTTTCAATTCTAAAAAATTTGAGTTGGATTTTGGTTTTAATCATATGTTTAAATTTTAGTCATGAAAAGTGGATTAAGATGTGAAATAGTTTATATACATGGAATAACCTAAGACCTAATAGGTTAACCTTTTAGGTCAAAATGAGCTTTTAAAATGTATTAAACTAGTTACGCATGTGGTGTCTCTCCAACAATATCAGTGTTCGTTTGTTCGACCACTAATGTCATAAATAATTTTTAACAACTTTCTCTTTAATTATATTTTTTGTTACTTATATGATTGGATTGTCTTTTTTGCTTCAGACGTTTTGTCTTCGGTATCAAGATCGGATTAGAAGTCTTCAATTGGCATATGCCCATGTCACTATCTATAGCGATTTTTTATGATTTTTTTTTTTAAATCTAAAGCACGTGTTTTTTTTGGAAAAAAAATAAACAAATTACATATGACTATAAGGCCGTCCAACTCTTTTTTTTTTTAATCTAAAATCAAGTAAAATGTAAATAAATCACTTCATTCCACACTTCCCGTTCTTCAAATAATTGAAATAGCATCTCTAAATATAATCACATAAAATCTCCTACTAAATACTATTTCTCTAAAAGTTATTCTGCAATAAGATACTCAAATATCTTACAACTTAAAACACATAACATTAACTTGGTTTCTCCGAGATAAAACTGCCAAGAAAAAAAAAACAAAAACAGTTGGTTTTCACTCTTCTCAACTAGCTACTATTGTTCTTTTCCCCCTCATTATTGAAAGCACAAGAAACGAAAATCAAAATAGAGAAAACACATCCGTAGAAACTTTTGCTTGCGTATTGTACCTGGAAGTGCACAACATTAATCATATCTTCTGTAGGCAAACTATATTCAAAAGTATACACGAGCAATTCTCGTTTGATCATGAGTACTATGAAAGTGAGAAGCTCCAAACAATATATATTACATATAGATAGAACATGAAGAATTCTAGTAGAGTATAAAAATTAAAAAATTAAAAAAAGGAGAAAAAGGAGAAAAACTCACCAAATTACTGTAAAATTTGAACATTCAAATCTTTCATGAAATTTTCTTAACTTTACAATTTTTATATAATTCGACTATAATTTGAGAGCCTAAAACCGCACAGTACCAGCGAACTTAGGACAAACTAACGAAACACTAGGGTCTACTCATAAAGTGTTGGATCGGACAACCTTGGAGTAGGAATAGCAACGAGAGGAATCTTCTTTTTCAGCACAATCCCAAATTTCTCGGAAAGATCCATCTTCTCTCCACGAGGCAATTTCCAATCAAAAGAATGTAAAAACGTAGCAAGAGAGTATAAGACCATCCTCTCAGCCATAGCAATTCCGGCACAAATTCTTCTGCCGGATCCAAATGGGAAATATTCAAAGTCGCTTCCACTAAAGTCCCACTTGGTGTTGTTATAGAATCTCTCTGGATCAAACTTCAAAGGGTTTTCCCAAATGGAAGGGTCTCTTTGTGTAGCCCAAACGTTGATGAAAACCCGAGAGCCCTTCGGGACGGTGTAGCCCCCAACGGTGCAAGTTTCACTAGGGCAGTGAGGGACTAACATGGGCAGGACTGGGTGCAGCCTCAGAGTTTCCTTCATCACGGCTTGTAAGTAAGGGAGTTTGTGAATGTGGGACTCTTCTACTATGTTGTCTTTGCCGACAACGGTTTCTAGTTCTTGTTGTGCCTTGTTCATGATCTCGGGTTGGTTCATAATTTCAGCCATGGAAAACTCGATTGCATTTGAGGATGTATCACTTCCACCTATGACCATATCCTGTTCAAGCATTGAACAACATCGTACGTAAATCCACCAATTCATGCTTGTCTCTAATCAACAGTTTGACAAACACTGATTTAAGTAAAAGCGAAGAAATTCAAGGTTTATATTTTTCGTCTATGTCAAATTAACAACCTACAGTTGGTTGATTAAAAACATACTTTTTTGATAAATGTATGGTTGATTAAAAACATACTTGCATACACGCACAATGGTTGATTAAAAACATACTTTTTTGAGAATTCCTCTCATTACTTGTAAGACATAATTTTTAGCGTCACATTAAGTTCATTTACATCGTAAAAATAAATACCAATATAACTCGAAATCTGACAATTATAACGTAATAATAGGGAGAATGTTTTCTCATACCTATAGTGAGTGAACTCTTTTTAACTTCAAAATTAACTCTCTCACTAAATTATAAATCACAATGAAAATTCTTAAATCTAAATAATAAATAGATAAATGAAGCAAATAAAACATAGCAACATACCATCAACAAGGCCTTGACGTGGACCATAGTAAAAGGTGTATTCGAATTCTCCTCATCTTTCAACTCCAACAAAAACTGCAAAAAGTCCTTGCTCTTTGACTCTCCTCCATCTTCTCTCTCCTTCTTCATCTTCAAACTCCGTTGACCAA